TTTACGACTCTTCGTTTTTAATTAACCCTTTTAAAACCAAATCAGTTTGATCAATGTGATACATATATATAATTAGCATTCTTTAGAAATATAATTTACGACGTTTTTGAAATGAAAAGGGATTACGAGAAATTTCATTTTCAAGTCACTATAAAGACTTTATCATTTCTGACAGCTGGTGGTGGGCGTATGTTATCTTGCCTGGCAAGCTATCTTTTCCCTTTGAAATTGTTGGCAAATGTAGATTCTACAGCATGTACGAGGAAATCTGAACGCATAGAGAAATAAGTGCCTTAGTTAGGCCTACAATATTTTTGTTTACTTTTCTGTATGCCCTTCTTACCAATTTTATATTTGTATATAGAAAATAAACATTGAATGATAATTCACATTTTGGCAAGGCCTAGCCCTTACAGAAGAGTATGAATAAGAAGGTTTTTGAAAGGTTTGGATCATGTTGAATAGAAAAGAACAGTTTTGTTATTAAGAATACGTCAATTATTTTTCTCGAGGAATTTTAATGGACATTACATTGGTTTAATATAAAGATTCAATTGTTTCCATTTTGAAAAGAAAAATTTAATGAGAGTAGAACTATTTAAGTAGCGAAAACGTTAAGTGAATTTGTAACTGATTTGTTAGATATGGCACGATGAGTTAAGAAAGACGTTTCTATTGTCACACTGTTTTATATTTTTGATTAAATTTATAAGCATCAATTTCTTCCCACTCCTTCATCCTGATTTACCGTTTATAACCAAGTTAAAAACCTGGGAATTCCGTGTCGTTTTAACCGGAGTATATACCGTTAAAATCATTATTTTATCTAAACCTAAATTTACACATATAACTTGCGTATAGGTACGTTTATAATTGGTACATAGTACGGAGATTCTGAAATATCCTTTTTGAGCGCACTAATATAACATGGTAAACCTACAATAATAACCAATTAATATGCCATTATAGGTCTAGAGGAACCTTGATCTAATGTTATATCCTAGACTTCTGTTACAATCTGGATCTTTAGTTATAATCAGTGTCGGACGCCAATCTTGTCTATTTTGATATGGATGGCCTAATTTTTTACCGGTTATTCCAGGTTATACCATAACCTAGTACCGTTATAACCCAAACTTAAATCACGACTGACCGTTAAAGAAACTATAAATACGGTCGCTAGCTAGGACCAATGTAGTATAATTGCAATGTGATTACCAGTTGTACCAGATTTATTATATTTTCTCCACGCCGGATCTGACCATTTATCTGTAATTTAAAAACATTTCCTGCTTTTTCCATTTTAGTCCACTTTCGTATTAAACTCTGTCCAATCTTTTCCGCCACATACTGGAAACAAGTGTAGAAATTGTCCGGTTAAACATAACTAACGTCAGGGTTTGGTAACACTTTCCGGAACACTTGATACACATAATCTGGTAAACATGTTTAACATTGACCTATAAAAGTTCATAGTGCGTTGCTCAGAAAGAAAGTTTTACGTCATATAGGAAAGATATTGTGTGGGGGTTTTTTTTGGCTACAGAGTTCCTAATTCCAAAAGTACCTTCACATTTCTCTGAAGGCTACTTTGTAGGCTATCTATAGCCTATAGGTTACTATTTGCAAACTATAAAATATAAAACTAGGCATATCTGATTTTGATATCCATCTTGAAATCAGATTAAATCTATAGAGGCCTTCTTTCGGATTCAATATTTGAAATATTCATTATGAATTATTATTTCCCTTTTAAAGAACAATAATAATGTATAATATTATATTACAATAATGTAAACGGATAGAACTCATTATTAGGTAAATTCGTTTTCTTTTCAATTCTCTGTTTTGAAGGGATCTATCAAGCACATTTCTCTTTGTTCGTTGATTCAAAATACTCCTTCGATGTCAGCATAAAATTATTATTTCACGAGAACTATTAAAAAATTGGCAATTTAATTGACTGGGTAAAATTGTAGCTCATATCGAGGTTAACCCTTTAATGGCTGTACTAAATCGTTCGACTGTTTTGAATATTTCGATAATTTATTGAGCGACATTAATGTAATATGGTAATCAAGCAGTACTTCAAAAAAATTCTTTGATCAATCATTTTGTCCTCCCAAATTTTGCGCGAATTTAAATAAAAATGCTCAATCTATTGCAAGTAGTCCCAACTTGTCAAAATCATCCGACCAATCAATAGTCATTATTCCTTATATGGTCAATAATAACATGGCTATAGTGTAATTGACAGGGGAATCCCTTTCTATTCTCAAACGTGATTGGCTGAGCGGCGTTTCGAGGATTCCCTCAATTCATGTTCTGTAATTTGATTGGATGGCGTGATTTCATTCCCACCGCTCGTGGTAGCTGTCATGCATGGCGACTAGTCGAGGTAATGAAAGGACTGTAAGAGTTGTGGGAGTAAAGAAAATGCTTGAATGAGCAACTTTAGGACATAGTTTTATAAAATTAATGTCGAGGTTTAGTTGACGAAAGGTTGCCGGCTTGAAAACCGGGTTTGTAGCCAAATTAACTGTGTTTGAAAATGGATATATTACCGAGTGGGAATATATTTCGGGAATTACAAGTTGTTCATGATACTGGATATTTTTCTTCGCAACCCTCCCTGGAGGATCGTTGGCAACAGGTCAGTCATATTTATCAATCTAAATTCACAATCGTGAGCTGGACAATATAGCATATGCACTATGCTATGAGCTGTGATCAAGCGATAGAGTGATAAGAGAATGAGTCACTATTAATTTCGCAACAACACTGCCAGTACGGTAGCCTATGTTATATTGACCGGCTAGAGACTAAAGTACTTTAGGGCCTACAGACTACAATTGATTCTATGTAAAGTCTGGCTTCAGACAATAATTACAAGGTGCCCATTTGAGCATCAGACTTAGGGCTATACATACTACTTTGATTGGTGCATATGAGTAAAAAAAAACTCATTATATTATGTTATATCACTCTAGATTTAGACAACCATGTAGCTGACACTTTTAGAACTACTCACTACCTACAGACCACATTTATATCACAATATACATTAACAGACTAATTCTGTGATTAGAGCTGACTGAGCTGCCACTTTCAGGTCACATATTTTGTACTGTTGGTGCCTGTAGACTTTATTTAATTGATACTTTCAATTAACAAAAAATCAATGTGATGTTCTTGTTAATAAGTATTGAAAATGCGGTTTAAAAGCCTTTGGTTCAGCATAAATACTATTGGAAGAATATTGAGGAAACTTGAAACTTGTTATTATTGTGAACTAAAACTTCCTTGAACAAATAACACAGACATGACTTCCTCTAATATTAGACCTAGAGACTTAATACTTGAGATAAATATACATCTTAACTTGCACAATATTATGATGACATTAGAGGATATACAATATAGATTCACAGAAATTGAAAATTATAAAATTAATAATACCCATGACTAGGACAAACTTTTTCAAGGGAATGAATGAATAAATATGAATATACTGACAATAATGTCAATATGTAGCCTACTGGCCAATATTTCAATATTATTAAAGCTTGTACAAGCTTATCTGATAAAATGATGTTTGAAATTGAGCAGTCTCATAATATGAAGTATGCGTTTTAATGTTAGCTCTCCTTATAAATTGCAAACATTGTAAAGAATTGCAAAGTAAAGAATTTAAGTTTTAAACCTGTCCACAGTATAAGATTAAAATTGGTAAGACATGAAGCGAGAGTATTTTAATTTAGATGTAGGTTATGATAAATATTTGATTGTCAATCTAACTCTACCATATCCTGAGTCTAGTCAGATACAGACATGAGTCATGCACCATTAGATTGTATGAGATTTTACACTCACCATTTCCACTGACTTAACGATTCAATTTCTGTTTAATAATTTAAACTATCATCAATATCCCTAGTGTCAGTCCTGTCTGACTGGTGTTTGGTTATCCAATGCAATATTAAATACAAGCTACTAGCCAGGAAGTATACCCAGGCTGGTTGAGAAACAAAAGATTTTTTTCCAATTTACTTTAAACTTTGTTGAGTCATCAGGGAAGAAGTCAGGTTCACAACAAAGTTCCAAAAGTCTATGCTTCATTGAGGTAGTTCTAATTCCAAGTCATGGTGGTAGGCCAAGGATTCCAAGAAAACATTAAAATTAAGGAATCCTGCTTAATTCTGTAGAATAACGGGAAAGAGTTAGAAGTGGAAGAAAAGACATCTACACATTTTAATCTACAATGCAGTTTTATTAGCCTATGCTATGTAAAGTTTTTGAAGAATGTATATTAAATCATATAAGGTTGAATTTATTATTTTTTCATTGAATTTAATTCTTATTTCATATTTATTGCTGTAGGCAAGACATTATTTTTATCTTATAAATCCATTAGGATATAATTTTTTCTTTTTAGTTGTGCAGATTTTTTCCTCTAAATATCCAATTGCTTTTGATGGTAAGCGCCAACATGGCGAATGAAGCAAACTTGATCTTATTTAAGTTCACTATGATTCTGGAATTATTTCAAAAATTACGTCTTAATATCTAAAACTGTCTGGTGTTATAATTGGTGATATGAATTAATGTTCTTGGTGACAATTGGACACAGTTAAATGAGATTTTTGTCACAAGTCTCAGATGTACACAATTCATCTAAGAAAAGGGTATATGTAAGAAATAATCAAGCCTTTCTTCATCTTAGATAAACTCACAGAATATTTCAATTTGTTATGTAGTCAGTACATGCTGGAAACATGTAGACTTCCACATCCAGTCGTCCTTCACTTTTATTGCATGTGCATGGTATGAAGTCTGAGAGTTCAAGACTAGTTATGTGAAGTTTTGAATGAGATAAAGAATAGAATCTCAAACTGAGTATTATCTAGCTAGTTAATGTACTGGTATTAATATTTCACCATGGACATTTACCAGATAGGAAGTATTTGCCAGATGGTTTACTCACATTCTTTTAGTTCTGTGTAGTTTAAATGAGGCTTCTTTCACTCAAAGATTTGAGTCCTTATGAAGTTTAAGAGTGACTGCTTCTAAAACTCTTTCTGTTGATTTTGAAATTTCAAATCAACTCATTCATTCCAAAAGGCTTCTAACTGAGATGTTGTAATTAGGGTCTCAGTTCTCAGACAAACCTAATTTTAGAATTTGATCAGATTGTGATAAAAATTGTATGAAATTTAACAATATTTCTATTTCTTGAAAACTATGATCTTATCCCCAAAATATCCAAATATTTCTACAAGTCAGCTTAAACATAATCTTTCAAGTTATAAAAACAATGTTTCATAAATAGCATGTCCATATTGTACAGTTCTAAACAGTTGCCTCAAATGATGTAATAGCCTTGAACTAGCTATTTAATCAATTGTTTTGTTTGCCCAGGGGGGGTAGCGATGTGATCTGTACGATATAATATTATCATTATTGTAACCAACCATACGTAAAGTTGAGATAGTTGACTAAAATCCCTTGGGGCAAAATATGAGGATTAAATTCCAAGGGTTTTATTTTAAAGTGTTTTTCATCAATTATTTCAATTATTGACACTTTTGGTGTATCTTCAGTGACCTTGAAACTTTCTGGTTGACCTTGATATTACTAAAGGTTTGATGCATTCCTCTGGGGTCTTGGTATTACAGGGATCTTGGAGGGAAAATTTCCCTTTAACTTATTTGAGTGAGAATCCAAACCATCAAGAATATCTTTTGATACATACATAAAATTTATAAGCAACAAATTGAACATTAACTTAAAAACAGATATATTTTATGTTGGAAGGTTAGAGACAAATTAGACTTCTTCAAAATCTGATGAAAAGAACACAACAATGACTTATTAAACCAGTTTAACAATAACTTCAAAAGTCAATCCCTTCAGATTTACAGACCGTGGATTGATAATGACATTTTTGTAAAATGAAGTCACAGAGCAAAGTGACATGTTGAGGAATGTAGAAACAATAAATTACGTGCACACCATGCAAAAAAATAATATATGCCTGAGGTGATATACAGGTACAGGTACAACTGATGAGAACATGACCCAGGTAAATGTCAATGTGGCATCATCCAAAATATTTATTTAATTTTACAAATGGTTTCAAAGTTTTTGGAGAGAACAAAATATCAAATTACAGCAGGATTATGATTATCAATGGACCATGTTATTCATGTATGATAAGAATTAGATAGGTTGTTCTCCCTGTCTGTCTGTATAAGTATAATGTCTAGACATGATGTCAAATATATATGAACCATGCCAGATATGTCAAAAAAAATTGTATTATGTAAGTAGATCAGAGTTCTTCCAGAGCTATCAGCATTTTGCTATTCAGGGTTTTCTTTTGAAACTAGTTTTATACGCTCCTGATTTACACCAAAGCAAGTGAATGTCATAGAAAGGAGGTTAACATGTACGTATGCTAATGAGAGTCGGCCTGGTGTTGGCTTTCACCCCCTAATACCATATCATTCAGCACATTATTTAACATATTAATAGTCTCCTATATGAAGCTAACAAGCTATATGAGCTTTATGCATGATGGTGGCAATTGCCAACTTAGCTTGTATCATTTGAGTAAATTTGTTTTGTGCAAAAATAAGATGTGTTTCCTGAACATTCTTGAGCCAAAATAAACCTTTACCAAAAGTATTTCAATTTATTTTTTTAATCTGTAAGAATTTGAAGAGATTTATACAATGGTAAGGTTGAATCATGAGGACAATGTGACAATATTTAATGTTGTCCTGTTTGAGTTGAGATTGAACAATCAACATTGTTTTTAAGTTTACTTCCTTACATAAGTGAATCAACATTAAAATAATCGATAGTATTATGTTCTAACTTACTAGTCCTGAACTAATTTTAATCATTCTATACATGAAATAATTTGAAGTCATGTAACTGAATACCGATATATAGAATTATAAGAATGCAAAAGAGTTTTTTTGGTTTTTCATGGTTTGAGGGTATAACCAGTTTCATTTTAAATCATTTAAATTTCTCACAGCTTTCTTTTACGTTTATTAGATTAGAAGAAAAAGGTCAGTCAGAGAATATATATTATTTGGCCGGGACAAAAGTACTGCAATAAGGTCACATAAATGTACATAAGGTCTTACAGAACTTGACGATTTTTTAACACCAATAATAACTGAGTCAAAAACACTGGTAGTGTGTGGTGGTTCATAACATTCTGATTAAAATTAGATATAGGTAGGAGAATAGGTGTAAACAGAAATTCTTTTGATTGTTTTTTAATTTCCAAAAAGCTTTATAAAAAAAGGGTGGGGTTTTTGAAGATACCCAATGATACCCTACCCTACTTTCTAGTATTTCAACAATTATTATATTATAAGCTGTGGATAAAAGTAATAGATGCAATCTATTATACTTATTTAGTTAATAGAAGGGTGCACGAGATGCATACAAATATTTACATATTTCTTTCAATATAATCTAAATGACGTGAATTATGAAATCCAGTGTGATGTATCATGTGATGTTTTCATAACGTGATAATGGCATAGTCTTCTACATTACAAATACTGAAAAAGAAACACTAGATTTCATTTCAATACATGCTTACTGAATGTTTACTTTGTAGATGTTAAAATTTTGATATATTTGTCAGCTGGAAATTCAGTACATATATACTTATTAACTATT